GCTGAAGAGATGGTTTATCAGTATCAAGAGTTGAAGAAATATCTTGAAGGATTAAGATACTTTCAGAATCATCATAAAGAGTACTGTACTAAGGTGATTGAATGCATTTGTTCATGCATAGCATGGTCAGATCTTGAGCTAATGAGAGATATTGTTTTTGTGCTTAGAACTCAAGGGTGGGAGAAGGCAGTGGAGGAAAATGATTCGATGGAAGCTATTACAAGATTGACTGAGAGATTTGCTATCCCTTTGGAAGATACTGCAGCTGATGTTGGACAAATTGCTTTTGAGTTTGATGCTGTACTTCACTATGCTATCCAATTTATTTTCCTCTCAACTCTCAATTATAAAGCAGTCTGGTGGAGAATTTTTCATTCCCCTAGTGCTGGTGAGTGGTGCAATATCTTGATATTAGTCAAGATTCTATTTTCCTTACCAGCATCAAATGGCAAGCTTGAAAGGGTTTTTTCTCAAGTAAATTTAATCAAAAGTGAGAAAAGAACTCTACTCTCGAATGAAACTCTCAATGACCTACTTGTTTTGACATCTGATCAAACTCCATTAAATGAATACTCTCCAGACAATGCCATTGATTTATGGTGGAGTGATAAGTCAAGGAGGCCAAACCAGCGAAAGAGGAAGGCATACAAGAAGTGATGCTCTCAACCATTAGCAACAACTTCTAACACTCCTACAAGTAGTACTGAGGAACTACCACATGTAGTTTTGTCATCTGAAAGTGAAAATGATAAAACAAATTCTGGTACTTCAACATGCATTTTGGATGAATGGGACACTTGGATGAATGACTCATGATTAATTTCTTTCATGAAACAATGATATAAATAACTATTTTTATTATAATTATTTTGGACATTGATAAATAATAATTCATAATAGCAATAATAATACAAAGAATTAATACAATTAAATGATTTTTTGTATGTCCAACCATTTTTTCCTGATGGCCACTCAAAGTGGCATTTGATAGGTCATCCTGTCTGACCACTTTTAAATTATTATTTTGCACTCTGATACTCCATATAAAGGAGTCCAAGACTAATCATTTCTTTTGCATATTCATAAACATGATCTTCTGGATCTATTCTCCTGTCTGAGTTAAATGTTGACAAATCAACATATTCTGATGCAATTTCTTCAGAAAATGTA